GCTAAAGAAATACTTGCCAAGTTTGAAAGTGAGAATTAGTAAAAAGTGATGAAGAGAATGAGTGAAATGAGTAATCACCAGTATTTGTAAACTAATAGAAGTTGATTTTGTTGTAGATTATTAATGTGCATTTCATGTAAATCATTCATAGCTCAGACTCTTGTCCACCTGCAGTGCAGGAGACCCTGGTTTGATTCCTGGGTCAGGAAGATCCTCTGGAGAAGGGATAGGCTACCCACTCCAGTATTCCTGGGCTTCCCTTGTGGCTCAGCTGGTAAAGAATCCACCTGCAATGCAGGAGACCTGGGTTCGATCCCTGGGTTGGGAAGATCCCCTGGAGAAGGGAAAGGCTACCCACTCCAGTATTCTGGTCTGGAGACTTCCGTGGACTATATAGTCCATGGGGTTGCAAAGAGTCAGACAACGACTGAGCAACTTTCACTACTAAAATGTGTCGTTAAAAAAATACTTAGGTCTTAAAAAAAAAGAAAGAAATATTTGCTAGATAAATGCATTCATGTTACACACTAAGGGGGCCCAGCCACATGCAGTCAGGGGCGGCTTCAGGTGCGTGCACAGGGCCCCACACTTGGACGGGTCCATGCTGGGTTTAATGTTCTGCTGTTGCTGTCTTGAAAGTTTTAGTGCATTTGAACAAGGAGACCCGAGATTTCATTTGCACTGGTCCCCACAAATGATGTAGCTAGTGCTGTCTGCAGTCCATTTTTATGTTCTGTAGAGTCACCCTTAGATATAAAATTGACTCATCTCAGGAGGCACCCACGATGTGCGCTGGGCTGTGAACCTCTGACGGCTTGCCAGCAGCTGGGAAGTGATGATCCATTTATCTCAGTGTGATGAACCACGGTATTTTCCTAACTGTCTGAGAGTTACTCACGGTTGTAAACTGATCTTGTCCCAGGAGGCTCGTCAGAACAGGATTTCAGTGGTCCAGTCTGAATAGCTGGTAGGGATTGTATGGTCAGAAAGCCAGGGATAGCTCTGGTTCACAAAGTTAAGAAGAGACGGAAAGACGGAGGGGTGAGTTGCTCGGATTCGAACACAACTTGTTCAGACTCTAGTCTGAATACAGCACCAAGTGATGTTACGTTGAATCATTTTAGAGAATTTTTTTAACAGAATTCTGGGAAGAATCCCGGCTGATATGCATTGCTAAAGACAGGCTTGAACAAAATCCTGTTCCTTGGATGAATAGCCTTTTAATTGCTAAGTTATGGTAAAATGCTGTGTTTAATTATGGACTCAGATATCTAATTTGTCAGTCATTGTTGCTATTTGAAACTCTCTTGGTTGTTCTTGCCATCGTTCCACTGTTTGCACTTGAGTTACAGAGGGCCTTATCTCCTTGGACACGTCCAAGCAGTGCTATCCCTTTGGAGTAAAAGGCGGGAAACAGGGACATAATTGAACCCATACATAACTATGCAGGGAAAAAAGTTAGCATCAATTACGCAGATACTGAGAGTTCCTTATCCATAAATTGATAAATCACAGTCTCAAGAGATCTTTAATAAAAGCCTATCAATATTAACATCATATGTGTAGTCCTGTGAATTGATTCATGGGAAGGGTGTGGTGGAATGTGGGTTATTTCGTTTTAATAGCTGGAATTTTTTTTTTTTTTTTTTGGCGCTTCTCTTCTCCCTTTTATCTTGACATGAGAAGGCTTCTGGAAAAATGAAGAACTGAGATATTGATCTTGGACCATTTCTTCCTAAATGTCCATCCCAGTCAACTGTCTGTTTTCATTGCAATGAAATGTACTGCATATAAATGGAAAGCTGGCGTTGAGTGTAGTCCTGCAGACTATGGGAGTATTGTCTATTGGGCTGATGATCATGACTTTTTAAATTGCTACATTCTTTGAACAGTCCAAAAGCCCTCAGTGTTTCATTTCTGCAGAGGGAAGTCATAGCCATACAGAAAATTTAAGATTGGTTACTTTAAAAACATTTAGTTATTTCTTGGCTAAATTGATAAAAATGTAGGGAAGAGAATCTACTGAAATAAATGCTAAAAAGGTTTTTAGATACTTCCTTTCTGACCATGAACATAACATTCTCAAAGAAGATTATTTCTTAAATTCCACAAAATCAAAAGATGTCACAGCAAGTGATAGAAGTATTCATCTTAGTCCTGTAAACCTATTCAGACATTAATAGGGGCTCGTTAAGACTGAGAGAAAGTAGAAAGACAGACCTGTGTTTATCTCAAAAGAAAAGAAAAGACTTGTGATCCCCTCAGGTAGAGCTGGGGGCAGGGGCTCAGAGGTTCAAGAGGCTAGCATGCTGACTTCCTCTGTGAGCCAATTTGGGGGTTACTCATTTTCAAAGTATCAAGACAGCAACCAGCCCAAATTCCAGCAATGATCAGCTGTGGTCTCTGGTAGTAGACTGCCAATGCCAGGCAGGCAGGAACCTCCCTCTCCCTGAACGAGATCTGTTTTCCAGTAGTATTTGTGAGCTGGTATCAAATTCAGGGTATTTGGAAAGAATACGAAGTCATCAGAATAAGGGCTAATTCTGATTTTTTTTTTTTTTTGCCTGCCCTACATACATCTAGAGTCATAAAAACATTTGAGTGGCATTCCATCAGTTGCTGTATGTGTGTTCTGTGTGTGTGGACAGTCCAAAACAATGCCACTATTGAGTTATATAAGTGCAGAAAAGGCCTGGGAATGAATGCTGGCCTTCTGGAAATACTATTTTTTCACTTTGGGATAACTCCAGTAACCAAGTAGAATTTTCTGATACATCTGCCAAATAAAAGAGCTGAGGTTGAGAAGTAGCATAAGATATTTTAATGTATGTTTTGGAGAGCAGGGTAAGAAAAGCAAGCTCTAAATATAAATATGAAAGTTACATCTTGACTTTGGCTATGGAATCTTGTTGTTACTTCCTCGTAGAAGCAAAAACATTCACTGTGAATGTAATTCAGTGGTGTTACTTGTTTATCCCAAAAAGAGTTAAAAAATCTCCAGGCCCCCAGACATTGCACTGGCCCCAAAGGCGTTCACATATCTGCTGTCATCTCCCTTCTTTTCATCTTTATGTAACACCTCCTCTTTGCAGCAAGAAAAGCAAAGCAGCGGCAAAATGAAACTGTATTTGAAGTTTCTCTGTATTGTGCATGCGTGCTAAGTTGCTTCAGTTGTTACGACTCTTTGCTACCCCATGGACTGTAGCCTACCAAGCTGCTCTGTCCATGGGATTCTACAGACAAGACTACTGGAGTGGGTTGCCATGCCCTCCTCCAGGGGATCTTCCCAACCCAAGGATGGAACTCCTGTCTCTTAGGTCTCCTGCATTGGCAGGTGGATTCTTTACCACTAGCGCCACCTGAGAAGCCCTTCTCTGAATTGGGTGCATCGAGAATCCCATGGACAGAGAAGCCTGGTGGGCTACAGTCCATGGGGTCACAAAGGGTCGGACACGACTGAGCATACTGTGCAAAAACTAAACTCTTCAGGCAGAAGTGGTTCATGCTGTTCTAGTTTTTTTCCTTGTAACCTACTCCTTCCCTTCATCCCCCCACTCAGGTCCCTTTCCAGTTACTTCAGAATAAACAGAAATTTGGGAGGTGTTTTAATGGGAAAGAAGGGGTAGCGGAATCACATCTGATAACAAATTTGTCACTGAGGAGAGAGTGGGAACTCCCCAAGAGAGATCTGCCTCTTGGGCATAGACCAACTTTGGGGGTCATATTTTGGGGTGTCTGTCCTTATTCTTTTTCTGCTAGAAAAGCTTCTGAGTGTGATGCTGTTATCCCTGCTGCCATCCCTTCTGTCAGTATCCTGTACCTGGAGCCCTCTGCTCTATTTCAGAAGGTGTGCAGGTTCCCTGAAGGAAGCCTGTGTTTCAGTGAAGGTCCCAGGGCTTCAAAACTTTGGCTTCAGCATTAAGACCCCTTTATGTGCAAAATCGTCTGACCCTGCAGACCCCTTTCAAGCTGTCTTATTAAGCACAGAAAACCCATCTTTCTCTAGAGAATAGCAATAGCCTGGCGCAGAGTGCAGTGGACTCAGAAATTCAAGAGCCTGGCTTAGTGAAAAAATGACTTTGATTCCCCTCCCTCAACTATAAAATGGAAATGACCTGCCCTGCTGCCCCTTTATAAGAGCCAATGATCTGGACCAGCATTTGCTTCTGAAATAAAATATCATTGTTTTAGCTGATGTCAAGATTTAGCTGACAAATTGTCACAGGCTTCAGCCTCACTTATTAATATCCTGCAGTTGCCGCAGTGTCTACTTGAATGGAGCAAGTAGGGGGCAAAAATAATGTCTGTCCTAACCACAAAGCTCTGTTTTCTGTGCTGAGCCAGTCCATGGGGTGAGGGATCCATAATTTTAGAAAGAGATGTACTGGGGGCTAGGCAGAGCACACCTCTGCTGTGTTATCAACTCAGTCATCCCAATGAAATTCAGCGAACTGCAGTTCTAGGCATGTTTCCATGGAGGTTTTTGTATGGTGATGTATAAATCAACCAGATTTATACATACTAAACAGCAATATCTGGATATTCATTCCAGACCTTTAGTTATAAAATTGGAAAACAAAGAAGCTTACAAAGAATGTACCCGTCTCACTGTGGTCATATACTCTGGGAGAACCAGTGGGGAAATTGAATTAATTGCCATGTTAATGTCACTGGGACTCATTATATTCTCTGGGCTGCCATACTGCAAAATTGCATAAGCATTTCAGCCCCTGAATTCTGGCAGCTTTTGGAAACATACATGTTTTCTTTTTTTCCCCCTGTTATTTTTTGACGCCCCCTCCCCCTTCAAGGCCTTTTTCCAGCTGTCCCCTTAAGGGAGTAGTTTTATGGGGAAGGTTCTTTTGTGGGCTTCCAGCTGGCTTTATTTTCACCATCTCCACAAAGTGGCTGCGTTTGTCGCATTCATATATTACCCATCACATCGCCTTGGGATTTTCCCTTTGAGTTGCTGACTTCATGTTTTCTGTTGGCACACACAGGCTGTCTCCTGGTTCGGACATCTATGTGACGGTCTCGTCCATGGCTTTAGCAAGATCCCAGCCATGTCGCAACTCCCCGAGCAGTCTGTCTACATCCAGCGAGACTGGCTCTGGAGGGGGCACCTACAGGCAGAAGTCCATGCCCGAAGGGTAGGTAAAGTCAGCATCACTGTCTCTGCTCCCATGTGTAACTCAGACGTGCAAAATAGTTTCCATTCAGCCGGACTCAGTTCACAAAAGGGGAAATACAGTTTATACTCCGCATTAAAAAATGTTTTCATGGCTAGTTCCAACCACTTCTTAGAAAGTTTATCATCTGTAGCCTCTAAGGACTCAATGGCAAAGAAATCTAATTACATCGATTTCTCCATTATATGTATTGATCTTGTTTCATCGTATGGATTTTGCCACTTCTTAAAATTTCTTCCCAAGTGAACTTAGGAGTATGCTGCTTGCGCTGTGTAGAGTTTATATTGATGTTAAAGTAAGAGAAATGTTCATTTTGTCCAAAGCTTAAAAGGATTTTTCTCACACTTTAGAAATCTGTGATTTCAGCCTGTGGGTTGTTTGGGAGCTTTTCTCTCCGTCTTTTTTGAAAACACTAAACACCCAAAGTAACCATTTGCTTATGACAAGACTTACAAAGTAAAAAGCTAAGTGTACATGATTATGAAGGCTACTAAAAGGCGGGAGGGGAATTGGCATGTCTGAAGCTGGAAAGGAATTAGCAGAAAACATCACATGCTACACACAAACCGACTTTGCTCAGAGGGAGAGTAAAAGAGCCATCACAGGCCTCCTGCCGGCACACCTCTGAAGAACTTGAAACCACTTGAAATTCAAAAATGGCATGTTGGGAGCAAAAAAGGATCTTTCTGTTCCAAGTTTTCTCCAAATTATTTTTAACAGATGCACATATGATTTGTTTACTTTCTTGAGATCTTACCATGTTATAAAACAGTTCTGCTTATGAGAATAGTTTCATAATGGGTATTTTTTTATCCTATAGTCTTTTGTTGGTTTTTACAGCTGTTAAGAATAATTTTGTTGATATTTTTGCTAAATGTTTATGTTAGCAGAAAGTAAGTAATAAAAAACTACAATAAAACATACTTCCCTCCCCAGCTCTCTCCCCAAGCAGTCCATTGGTAGCGTGTCTAAAATGTACATTTCTTACTTTAATTACAGTGACAGTTAGTAAAAAATTCTAGCTCTTATTGTAGGCCCCTGCAAAAGATTTTATGAGTTAAGTAGTAGTATTATCCCATACCACAAGCCCAACTGATTATTTTTTGTTTTGTTTGGTAGATTTTAAATGGCCTTGTTTGACTTCAAAAGTAAGAATTCACTGCAACTTCAGTGTTAATACAGCAAGAAAGTATAAATGAGCTAACAACAACAAAATCATGTTAGCTTCTTCTCTACATTTGAGATATACTCTCAAGACATACTAAAATGTAGTTTGAAACAGTAATTTTTGGTGATTATTAATGGTAGAAATGGCTCCAATGTTCATGCTATACCATTTTTTTAATAAAGTGGTAGTTATTTGACATGATGTACAATACTTAGTGTCCCATAGCTGGTACGGAGGGTTTCCCCCATCACTTTTCAGGTTAACTGGTGACTATTTACTGTACTGTGTCACATCAGTTTTATCTGCAGTGAACCTTTACAGGAAGATGCTGGTACAGTGTTTTCCTTTAGATCCCAAGGGAATTGTTGTCTGTATCAGTGATGCAAGAGACTTTAGTGTTCGCTGTCTGATTGACAGGTGTTCCTCACGAGCCAGGTTTGATTCTGAAGTTACACTTACCAAGGGAACAACTGTTACATCTACTCTGTAACTTAGCCCAGTAAAAATAGATAGGTCCAGGGTGAAGTGAAGCAGGAGTGTATGGAGTCTGCTGTGAACTCATGAATGTTGAACTTGGACAGGCTCCACAGTGTGAGATAGTGACCACAGGTCCGGATACACTGATGTCCGTAAGTGTGATCCCCCCCTTTGTCGCCCGGCCTGTGCTTCAGCAGATTCAGTGTCTGCTTGTGTGTGGAGTGTGCCACCCGCTTGCTGGTGTAAGGATGTGGAGAGCATCCAGATCAGTTGAGAGGCACAGTTTCGCGGGCTGGTTAATAAAACTGCTCTACTTGGGTGAAGGGGAAAAGGGCACATGCACAGTTTTGGATGGGAATAAGAGTTAAAAAGCAACAGTGACAAAAAGACATGGGGTCTCTTCTGCCACCCTTGGAGATGTGTTCTGGGGCCACGTACCCTAAGGAATGTGGGCGAAGCAGGGCACGTGCAAAGGGACGGATGGGCAGACACGGAGTCGGAGGATCGTGGTGTGAGAGATGGAGCCAAGGCGTGCGTGTGCAGGCGGCGCGTGCATTCTTCGCTGAGGGGTTAAACTTGTCTCTGGGGGTAACTGAGATCAGTAAGTGAAAAGTCATAGAGAAGAAGTTTCCAGCCCCTTGTAAGGAAGATGTTTCAAAGCTGTCAGCCTGCCCTGGGGAATTATAGACTGACTCATGAGGGAGAAGGTTCTTGGTCATTGAATGCATTTCATGTATCAGCCAAATGATTACTTAAAAACTCCTTCAGATCGGAACTGTGACTCCTAGAGTATTATAAAGTGTTCCTCCAAACAAAGGGACAATTAGGTCTTCCAAAAGAGGCACAGTGTAAAGTTAGAACAGGTTTTGTCTGAGCTCCTCAAGGATGGGGCCTTTGTAGCCCTGATGGCCTGGTGAGAGGGTGTGAGAACTAAAACCAAAAGTTCATTGGGTCAAACTTTTTTCAAGGCAGAGTTGAAAGACAGACAGGCTTACTTTATAATTTCTTTAAAAGCAGACAGCCAGAAAAGCATTTGGCTTTCAGTTTATAGAGGTTTAAAAAGTAGTCTTGGGTTTCCACTGCTACCAAAAAGTAAAACTAAGATTCCAATTCACTTCTTTCTTTGATCTCTGTGCCTTTTTGGGGAAAAAAAAAATTAATTTTGTGTACTTAAAATAGGATCATTGGAGCCAACTGGAGGATATTAACAGTTCTAAACAAGGACCTGATTTAGGAGGTGACAAACATCATAATTAGTGAATTCTTTTTTTTTTTTGATGAGCCCTTTCACTGAAATTTTCATCAATTCAAGTTTTCATTTGTTTTTAATAATGGAGGTAACTTTGTTTAGTGATGCTTATGAGTTAAGCTTGTAAATGACTGTCATTTGTGCAAAAAGTAACAAGGGAGATATTATAGTAGGAGTGTTACTAAAATATTCCATAGCCTTCCCTATGTTGCAGAGGCTTTTATATAAGGTTTTCTCCTTGGATCCGTATAAGAGTTGCCATTTTAAAAGTAAATAAAGACAGAACTTGAGTGACTCCCGGTGGGGAAGCTGAACTTAACTACTGATCTTCCTCCTCCTAATCTCCGTCTCTTTGCAACACACCAATTGGTGCTTCTCCCCACACATTTATCAGTTTGTAACAAAGACACCTGTCACATGCATCAGCTAATTCAGGTCCTGTTTCGTGGTTTATTGTGTCGATTACTTATAAGTTCATTAGTGTCCACAGACAGGTTTGTAAATTTCCATGTGAATCTTTGAGTATTATACCCTGGGCCTTTTTCCTGGACTCTGTCAGCATTTTCTTTGCTGATGTTACTAATCAAGACAATTAGTTTAATTAAGCATACATTATATTATTATTCTACATAGGAAACGTTATTAATAAAATGGGCTCATTAAATAGATAAATGTTCTTTCCAGAAATAGACGTTTGCCTTTATATATGCCAGCTCACCCACTTCCAAATTGCTCTTCCAAAGGCAGTTTGAAATTTATACATCTGGAAAGTGGTCCCTATGTAATGTAAATGTTAGCAATCTTTGTCTTTCAGACCTTAGAGTAACAGCTTCAGAAAATACTTGTTCCAAGAATGAGTGCCTTAAATGTAGCAGATTACTGAGTTAGGAGAAACCTCTGGAATGTGCCAATTGGACAACACACAGAAGGAACTCTAGGATGGTGACATTTTTCCTTTGGCTGTGGATGACCGTCAGAGCTTTAACTACACAAAGGCCAGAAGGTTTTGGTTTTTTACTGTATCTATTTTAGGTTGGCTCAGTGCTAATGACTCCTGCCCTTGTTCACAGTTTACAAACTTAGCTTACATACTCTGCTGAACAGAGGGGTGTATCCCGACCACAGCATCCACAGTTCTGGCATCCACGTATGCATGCACGCGGATGAGTACAGACCTGTGAGCAAACCTAGTAGTACCTGTCATCAGTGTTCAGTGCGTTACACCCAGGACTACCTTCCCGTGTGGGCGAGGCCCCTGATGTTGTCTTTCCCTTTGGCGAAATCCCCCCAGGTTTGGAATCAGCCGCAGATCCCCCGCCTCCATCGACAGGCAGAACACCCAGTCAGACATTGGTGGCAGCGGGAAATCCACACCCAGCTGGCAAAGAAGTGAAGACAGCATCGCTGACCAGATGGGTAAGTAACTAATTCGTACACTAAGCAAGTTGCTTTTGTACCCAGGTGACTTTGGCGGCCTCTGGTTGATGTCATCAGTGTATCCTCTTCTCTAGTACAGCCCTGGGTCATAAATAGGAATGAGCGTTAAGTCTGTTAACGTGTGTAGAAGTCAAAGCAGCAATTAAGACCTGAGAGAAAAGTCAAGGAATTCTATTCATAAGTGACCTTGACTTTGAAGACAGAAAGTACATAGGAATTATTTTCAGCACCAAGGTTGAAATGCCAGAGTACTAAGACACTTAGGTGCTATCTCCCTCCCCAGCCTTGTTTATTTATCTGTTTGATTTTGCCTAGTATAAAGGCCCTGGGAGATTGGTTGATATTCTTAACGTTGAGTTTTTAAAAATTTAAAAGCTGTGTACAAAATGGGAAAGAGATAAAATTGTTCTCTAGTCACCTCTTGAGGATGCCTTTCTTCCCTTTATAGGCTTTTTTTTTCCCCCACTCTGCTAGGAAGCTGTCAGCTAAGGAAACGTCTTAGGATAAAACCAGCTGGAAGGGAAAAAGATTTGCATGAGTGAGCCTTCCTTTGGGTTTCTGGCACATGGCCCTTTCCTTCTCCCTGTCTCTCTACACAGTTCTCTGATGACATCTAAATACTAGTTGATACAATAACATTTTGCCATGAAACAGGATTGAGTTTCAGTACAGTAGCACCAGGGATTTAGTATCAACACAGTTGATACATCAGGGACTTGAATCCCGACTGTTAAAGGTTTTTCCTTTCGCCTCTATCTAGTAGCTTTCCCATCAATGTGGAATAAAAAGAAGTAAATTTCAGGGCTGGAAACAGATCAGCATTCACGGCAAAGCCCTCATCGTTTTATCCTCTCTGCAAACGCATCCTTTTGTTCTGTTTTAGTGACTGTGCCCACGTTTCTGTACCTGGCGGGGGAGGGCATCCTCAGTGCAGAGGTGGGGACCATGCTGGGACTCTTAAAAACCCACGAACATGGAAGGGAGTGGAGATGCGTTCAGTTAAGGCAGGAGTTGAAGAAGAGAAGCAAAACCCTCAGGTTCTGAAGATAGGCTTTGTTCCACCCCTTCAGTGCGATGTGTGCCTCGTTATTGAAGCCATCTGTCATTCCCTACTCTCATCCCACTCCCCACCCCCCACCAAAAACCTGAGCATATTCGGATCCACTGTTCCGCTCTTGACAGAATGTTTCGAATCCCATATGTTTTGATACCGTTGAGATGGTAACAACACATGTGAACAGGATCCCTCCTTCAGCAGGACTTTAGCAGCTTTTTTTGGCTCCTAGTTGCAGGCTTTGAACAAAGCTGCCAGCGGGCCTTTGTGCACGGTTCAGGGTCACGCTTCCCACTCATGTGAAGTCATACAGGGAATGAAACAGTATCTTGGGACTGGAAAGGGTAATTACAAGGTTCGTCCTAGGCCCATAGTCATTCTTTCGCATAAACCTTCCTCTAGCCTTTTTTTTCCCCTTGCATCCATTTTAGTTTGGTGGCATCCCACGCTTCATAGATAAGGTTCGGAAATGAATACCGGTGAATCTTTTTAACGCATTGGTTCATCCTTTTTGTAAGGTTATACCTTTTCTTTTAAAAAAAGAAGATACTCCTAGAGTCTGCCGGAGAAGCCTTTTGTTTTTTTAAAACCAAGACCTTTCTTGATCCAAAATCTAAGGCTGCAAAGAAAATGTTCAAATAAATTTTTATAACTTTTGATATTCTAGCATCCCAGAAGGATAACCCAGCCCTTTCTGCTTGGCGCTTCAGAAGGAATCTGGGGCTTAGCCGACACAAACCATGCTAGGGAGGAATCAAGACAAATAATTGTTATGTTCTCATTCCTCAGGACATAGTATTGAGTGGATAAGGGACTGACCTTCCTACACTCGATTTGTAAGAACACAATTCTCTAACGACCTTCAGGTCACTGGTTGAAAACGTGAAGCAGATTCTTACTCATTAGCCAGGCTCCCCGTCTTTGTCCATCAGCAGATGATAAGCTGATTCCCAGGGGAGACCCAGAGCTTAGCTTATTGAATTGGGTCACCCATCTCAGTTTGATTTTCCTGCCTCTCCACTTTTGGACACAGTTGAGAGTCAAAGAGTATACTGCTCAGTCCTGTGTGTGTTAGGAATGGCGTTGCACAATTGTTGCCATTAGCTCTTAGGTGTGTTAAAGAGGCGAAGTCGCTTACCTTTCACCTTTGGAACCACCCCATCCTGAACACCAGTGGAGTCCAACAGGAAGCAATTGTTTTAAGTAAACTAGTCGCTGTGTGTCTTTTCTGTTGTGCTTAGCTTACAGTTATAGAGGACCTCAGGAATTCAATTCTTTTGTCCTCGAGCAGCATGAATATACAGGTAAAATATGTCCAAAGTGTCATGGTAAGTAACGCGCGATTGCATCCATGCCTGTCTAGGTAACGTAGACCAAGCGAGGTTAGCCACACTTTGCAATGAATGGATTTCATAAATTTAATTCATATATTCGAGACTTCCCCGCCTCCCCAAGCCGAAAATTGATTCCTGATGTTGCCGCATTGTTCATGGCCTCTGGTTTGGTGGTACTTGGCTCTGCTCATGTGTATGATGTGACATACTGTCACCAGCTGCAAGCTTTATCCATCAGCCACTTAGCTCTTGACATGCTGTCTCTCATGTAAACTCTCAACAAGCTTCTCGCTGAAATTCCGAGTGTGCTGGCCAGTGAACTGAGAGGTGCTGGGGCAGGCGTCCTCATGTGTCAGCCGCGCCCGCGCCGCTTTAGTGCCTGCACCGTGATGTCCTGTGCTGTGTTCCAGAGCCGACCTGCCACCTCCCAGCAGTATCCAAGGTACTGCCAGCTTTCCGAGAGAGCCCCAGCGGGAGATTAATGCGTCAGGATCCGGTGGTTCATTTGTCTCCAAACAAACAAGGGCACGTAAGTTAACTACAAAGTAATCAAAATGGTGCAGTGAAAACTGATGCCACGGACAGGAACTTGGGCAGACGTTGGGAGATGGTGAGGGACAGTGAGGCCTGGTGTGCCGCAGGCCATGAGTCACAAAGAGTTGGACACAACGGGGCAACTGAACAGCAACAAATAAAAGTGGTAGATTCCCAGCCCTGTACCTTTCTTGCAAAGTGAAAATGGTACTGGTCTGCTCTCTTATTCTTCCACGGTGTCAGAGGGCAAGTCATCCCAGGAGAAAGTGGGCGCTGGCTGCCACAGCCCTGAAATTTCTACTGCCAGTGGCCTTAAGCTTTTTGTTGTTGTTTAGTCGCTAAGTTGTGTCCCACTCTTCGTGACCCCATGGACTGTAGCCTGCCAAGCTCCTCTGTCCAGGGCATTTCCCAGGCAAGAATACTGGAGAGGGTTGTCATTTCCATCTCCAGGGCATCTTCCCCACCCAGGGATTGAACCGGAGTCTTGCAATGCAGGCGGATTCTTTACCCCTTAGCCACCTGGGAAGCCTGGCCTTAAGCTTATTTTGAGATTAAATTGAAATTCCTCATTGGGATGCACCTGCTACCCCCATGGATTTGGATGAAAGGCCATGTGATGCAATCACAGACAATCCTAGTGTCTGGAATAGGAATGTACTTGATTAAGATTTTATTTGCTTACACAGTTGCCAGCATGAGGTATGAATGGTTGGAACATCAGTCAAGGAGACAGACAGCTTCCTGACAACTCGCCCTACTGCTTCTCTTTCCTTCTGGGGCTGCACTGATTGTTGTCTCTTTACCATAATTATACACAGTTCCCCATCACTTACAGGTAGAATTGGGAATAAGAGACTCTCATTTCCTCCCTCATTAAATGCAGTGGATTTCCTTGGTCTGTCTGTTCACTGGAATGTGATTGTTTATATTTATGTCATTTTATAGGATGAGGACATAAGTGAATTTAATATTCACTAATATAATGAGAGGGCCCAATTTTTTTTTTAATTGAAATGAGTTTTGAAGTGTAAACTTCACAGGTTCATGAGCAAGCATCCTGTACTGGGCTGTGGAAGAGAGATTTACTGATGAAATGTGATGCTGCCACAGTTCCACTTGTAAATGTGAGATTACCCTAGTCCATCTGTCAATTTCTCCTCCTTCATTAACACTTTTTAAACTGATTACATGATCAAATAGTATTTTGGCTAGATTTGGTTAGATAAAAAACATTCTCAAAGGTTATTTCACCTGTTTCTTTTTCTAAAATTTGGCTAGAGCACTTAAAATTCCAGATGTGGTTTGAGTTATATCTACATCTATATCTGTCACTTACTCTACACTCTCAACACATCTGAATGTGAACTGGCCACATTTTAAGTGCTTGGTAGCCATACATGGCCTGGGGCTAGCAAATTCTATAGCCCAGGTCCAGGTGCTACAGGGTTCTGCCCTCGAGCAACTAGGAAAAATAAATGATGGCCTTGTAATGCAAGTAGTTACTGAGAGAAACTAGAGTAGCTCCAGTGAAGTAACTGGGATCAGTCCTCTTTCAAGGGGAGGAGATCTTTGACTGTGAGGTCTGTCCTCCTCCAGCCCCCTTCCTGCAGCCAGTAAAGACACACCAACATCTTTCCTCTTCTTTTCTCTCAATCTCTGCCAAGTATCTGAACTTTCAGCCACCCTGTAATTTAAATACTGTTTTACTCAGATATCCTTTGAAATCATATTTCTTTGATAAACTGTAAAATCTTTCTGAGCAACCAAGCCGCTGTCCAACAAGCATTCTGCCCACATTTTTTAAATTGAGATATGATTCACATTATTCACATATCGAAACATTCACACATTTAAAGTGTACTATTTCATGGTGTTTGGTATATTCACAGAGTTGTGCAACCAGTACTGTGATTTAACACCAGAACATTTTCATCACCTTGAAAAGAAAGCCTAACTCTTCCATTCCCTCCAAGCCATTGACAACCATGAACTTACTTTCTGTCCCTGTGGATGTGCCTGCTTTGACGTTTTATATGAATGGAATCATATAGTATAGAATCATATAGCCTTCTGTGTCCGGCTTCTTTCACTCAGCATGTTTTCGGGGTTCATCTGTTGTAGCATGTATTAGTACTTCGCATCTTTTTATGACTGAATAATATGCCATTGCATGGATATAGCAACATTTTTTTATCCATTGATAGACATGTGAGTGATGTCTTCTTTTTTGGCTATTAAGAATAATGCTGCTTTAAAATTCATGTGGGAGTTTTTCTTGTTAACATAGGTTTTCATTTCTCTTGAGTATATAATTGCAGCTGTTTTCCCACAGCAGCTGCCCTGTTTTATATCCTGCCAACAATGCCCACCATCCTTACTGTCTGCCTTTATCCTAGTGTGTATGAAGTGTTACTTCATTGTGGTTTTGATTTGCATTTCCCTAACCCACTCCAGTGTTCTTGCCTGGAGAATCCCAGGGACAGGGGAGCCTGGTGGGCTGCTGTCTGTGGGGTTGCACAGAGTCGGACACGACTGAAGCGACTTAGCAGCAGCCGCAGCAGTGACTAATGATACTGAGCTTTTCATATGCTTGTTGACCACTTGTGTATCTTCTTTGGATGAATGACTATTCAAATCCCTTGCCCATTTTTTTATTGGGTTATTTGAAGCATGGAAGTTTTTAATTTTGATGAAGCCCAGTTTATCTATTTTCTCTTCATTTTTTTACTTTCGGTGTCCTATTTAAGAAACCATTGCATAGTCTAATCATTTGTATACCTAATTTGTATACATAATCCATGGAGATGTATACCTATATTTTCTTCTAAGAGTTCTATAGTTTTAGCCCTGACACTTAGGTCTTTGACCTTTTTGAGTTTATTTTTCTACGTGGTTAAGACCCAACTTCATTCTTTCTTGTATGTGGATATCTAATTTCTCAAAACTGTTTGGTAAAAAGAATATTTTCCCCCATTGAATTGTCTTGGCACATCTGTATAAATTTTACTTCTTAGCACTCCTTAGAAAAGCTGTCTCCTAAATAGATGCTATATGAAGAAAGAAAAGATATCTTTTCTTTCTAAGAAAAAGCCTTATATTCTGCCTTCTGTTTACTCTGATCAACACAGTCTTTCTAATTATAAGCCCCTTGGAAGTATCGCTTTCTATTTTAAGGCTGAGATATTAGAAGACTCTAATGACAGTTTTGACTTCTCTGGTGGCACAGATGGTAAAGTTCCACCTGCAATGCAGGAGCCCCAGATTTGATCCCTGGGTCGGGAAGATCCCCTGGAGAAGGGAATGGCAACCCACTCCAGTATTCATGCCTGGAGAATCCCATGGACAGAGGAGCCTGGAGGGCTGCAGTCCACGGGGTTGCAGAGTCGGATACAACTGAGCGACTAAGCACACATCCAGTGAGAGTTTAGGGTTGGTTTGCTTTTCTTCCCCCTGATTAAGACTCTCTCAATGCTATAGTTACTTCAGCATAAGTTAAACAAGCTAAATAATGAAAAGTCGATTCTGAAACAGCAAAGTTTCCTGCACTGCCTGCCATGAAATCTTCTGAACAGGTTTTCCCAGGTACCCCCGCCTTGCTCTTTGTCATCATGGAGGCGTTTTTGTGTCTCGAGAACCCCCTGGGAGGACACATTTCGCAGTCACTCCCCCGGTATTTGTTGCCTGCTCTTCCGGAAGCCAACCTGCTCTAAGGAGCCCTGCTTCCCTTGCAGTCCGACAGCCACTACTCCAGCCACTCCAGCAGCAACACCCTGTCCAGCAACGCGTCGAGCGCCCACAGCGACGAGAAGTGGTACGACGGGGACCGCGCCGAGGCCGAGCTCAGCAGCTACAGCTACCTGCAGGGCACCTCCGCCGACAGCGGCATCGACACCACCTCGTACGGCCCCAGCCACGGCAGCACGGCCTCCCTGGGGGCGGCCACCTCGTCGCCGCGCTCGGGGCCGGCCAAGGAGAAGGCGGCCCCGCTGTGGCACAGTTCCAGCGAGGTCATCTCCATGGCAGATCGGACTTTAGAGGCAGAGAGCCACGGCATGGACCGCAAAGCCGAGTCCTCCCTGAGCTTGGACGTCCACACCAAGAGCCCGGCCGGCTCAAGCCCTCTGACCAGGGAGAACCCCACGTTCAGTATCAGTGATGCTGCTTCCCACACCAGGTAACCGCCCCTCCCACTCCCCGCCTCCTGCATCCAGCTTATGGCCTCGTCTCACTTGCTTCCGTCAAGAGTACATTTTTAAAAAGGGGGGGTGGGCGGGCGTCTTTTGCACAGTGGCAGCTAATTTTTATATATTTATTTACCATCCAGATCCTTTATTTCTACCATCCTAGTGCATTATTTTAAACTCTGAGAAAAGTTTGCAGATCTGTTTTTTGTAGCTGTATTTGATTTTATAAAAATGTGCCTAACTGCATACCAGAATGAGGAGAATTTTGTCCTGTGTCTTCCTGCTAGTGATAGAGAATGTAAAATGAGACAGTCTTTTGAAGACGTAAGAAAATCTGGACCATATTTTTGAAAGGAAGGGGTCTTTCCCAAGACTAACAGGGCCTATCATGTATGATGCTAGATGCATCATCCTTAACGCTGTCTATCAGAGAACATCGCTTATCCAGTGTTTGCACAGCAATCTGTTTTCAGTAATTGACTCCCGACAGTGATGTGTTGAGGGTGAGGGATGTCCAACAGGAAAGCATGGCTAAAATTAGACACAGCCCATCTACCTTTCAGAACAGAAACGTACACATTCCCCTGTATCCTCGGCAATCATGCTGATAGGCAGAATAAATACTGTTTTTCATTTCCTCTTTGGGGTTTGAGCCTGCAGTCCAAAATATGACAAGATATTCGTCCTTTTAGGGAGGAAACATTCATCACTATCTCTGGGGACCTGTTAATGTCTGGTGGTTTCTCCTTTTACCTTTTTTTGTTGTCAGTCATTGATCAGCTTGTGTGATAGCATCTAACCTTGCCGTCTTCCAGCCCTCTTTTACTCTTATGCGCTAAAGAAAAGCAGCAGAGAAGTTGAGTTTAGTTTTACTTTTCCAGTGGGAATCCAGGCACATAATCTGTCAGTAAACCCCAGGTAATCTTCACGAGAGGGGACATCCTTGACTTAATTTGGATTTGTTTCACTTGATCAGTTAAATAGTCAACTTTTCCCGTTGTCTGTATTGTTACTGATAAGATTCACACACTTCCCATCTTTTAAAACGATGATGATATGAAGCATTTCCTGAGTTTTATCTCTGTTTACCACTACCACGTTGCAGTAATAAAAAGTGATTGTGACAGACCTGGAAACTGCATGGCCCCCTAAGCAGAAAAGCAATTGGGAAAGTCATCTCAGGATTCTTAGGTAACAAGTATCCAATTTCCGGTCCATAATTCAGAAAATAGAATGTTTGGTACAGATGGAATAAGGGAGTGTTTGGAAAACAGAAAGCCAGGCGTCAAATACCATGATAATATAATATAGACGTAGAATCACTTGACTCAGTTATGTGACTGGCTTGCTGTTTCTAGCACACCCACTGTCTTATTAAGTACAGCCTGTGCACTGACTCAGAACATTTTTCAGTTCACAATAGTTCCTCTGTGGTTTTCAGGTTTACCTTGACTCCTAGATTTGGTTTTCAGTTCTTCATTCTGAAAAGAGAATGTCTTTTTTGAAATAGTACTCCATCTGGGGAATGTATCTCTGATCTAATTGGATGGCAGAAGAAAGTCACAGGTCTTGTCAAGAATGGCATCACTCTGGAGTAAAGTTAAAAAGTGCTGGGCCTCTGAAGCCGAAGCTCAGAACGTGGGCCGTGCGATCTAACAGATCTACCAAATCCCAGGGGAGGTACAAAGCACCCCCCCCCACAAAAGTCGGCACCTGGGTTAACATTGTCTGAATGTGCTGACTGCGACTGCCTGAAGGTCTTAAAGGATTAACCACATTTTCTGCTTCCAACTGACCATGCAGAAATCATTGAAATCATCATTTAGAAAAAGCTCTTCTGTTGAAAGTCAAGGTTGCTCGGGAAGAATGTGGCCTTTTGGGGAGGATGGCAGGGCTTCCCACCCACTGGTAGGTTGAGTCACATTTGTCCGCGACTCCGGTAAATATGGATGCTTTGTGACTCCAGTTTGTTGATCTTGGCAGAGGGTGCTGGATAATCAGAGCTTTAGCAGACTTCCTTTTCTGGAGGAAAGGGGGAACTTAGCCACCAAATGCATATTGCTCGAGAAACTAAAATCACTGCAAATTAGAGTGTTTGTGTCCTCGGAAGACAGGAACAGCAATTAATGTGGAGATCTCTTGACAGTGCATAAAAGAGCTTGTACCTGGGACTTGGTGACAAAATCTAAATTACAGTGATTAAGCTCCACTGCGCATTTCTGCCTGGGCTGTGTTCCTGCTGCCTCTGTCCTCCAATCTGCCTGTTGATGGCTGTGCAGGTTTTGTGTGGCCCTCCCATGAGAACTGCTTATAATGTAGGTTGGTAATTACATAGGGTTATTCTATCTGGATGTCATTGAGAGGAGCCATACACATTGAAAGCTTTCTACAATTAAAAAGTCTATTAGTTGCTCTTAAGTGTTACTGCTAGAATATACATTGTCTGTGAAGCATGGAAATTCAGGGAGAGGTCTTTTAAAAAGAAATTTGTTTTTGTAATGGGTGTTTCACTTACAGGTCTTAAACCACTCAGAAAAATGATTCGTGGTGAGCATAGGAAAGGTGAAGATATTTTCAATTTTAGTATACTCTTATCAGCTGAGTCACTTTTTCTTAGAATTCTGGCCTCGGAAGTAGGCAGTGTCTATTTGTGTTGTGACTGAAGACTTCCCTAGTCTACAGAACTCTCATCCTGCTGACCAGCGGCCACAGCTGATGGCAGAACTAAGTTCATGACCACGTATTATAAAGCTAAAGGGAATTCCCTGGCAGTCCAGTGGTTAAGATTCTGTGCTTCCACTGTAGGGGGTACGGATTCCATCCCTGGTTGGGGAACTAATATTCCAAATGCTTCAGTGTGGCAAAAAAAAAAAAAAAAGTTAAAAACCCCATCTTGGACTTACACACACGTCTCGTCTGTAACATCCTGACCTGACTTGTTTTGAGGAATCAGAGATCAAATTGCCAACATTTGCTGGATCAGAGAGAAAGCAAGGGAATTCCAGAAAAGCATCTGCCGCTGTTTCATCGACTACACTAAAGCCTTTGACTGTGTGGATCATAGCAGACTGGGTGGATCATAATAAACTGTAGAAAGCTCTGAAAGAGATGGGAATACCAGTCCATCTTACCTGTCTCCCGAGAAACTATATGCTGGTCAAGAAGCAACAGTTAGAACCCTGTATGGAACAACTGATTGGTTCAAGATTGAGAAAGGAGTATGACAAGGCTGTCTGCGGTCACCATGTTTGTTTAACCTATATGCGGAGCACGTCATGAGAAATGCTAGACTGGATGAGTTACAAGCTGGAATCAAGATAGGCAGGAGAAACATCAACAATCTCAGATAGGCAGATGATACCACTCTAATGGCAGAAAGCAAAGAGGCACTAAAGAGCCTCTTGATGAGGGTGAAGGAGGAGTAAAAGAGCCGGCTTACGACTAAATATTAAAAAAACTAAGATCATGGCATCCAGCCCCATTACTACATTTCAAATAGAAAGGGGAAAGGTGGAAGTAGTGACAGATTTTCTCTTCTTGGGCCCTAAAATCACTGCAGACAGTGGCAGCAACCATGAAATCAGAAGAGGATTGCTTCTTGGCAGGAAAACGATGACAAACCTAGTCAGTGTGTTGAAAAGCAGAGACATTACTCTGCCAACAAAGGTCCATACAGTCAAGGCTGTGGTCTTCCCAGTGCTCACATATGGTTATGAGAGCTGGACTGTAAAGAAAGCAGAGTAGCAAAGAATTGATGCCTTTGAACTTTGTTGCTGGAGAAGACTCCTGAAAGTCCCTTGGACAGCAGGGAGATCAAACCAGTCAGTCTTAAGGGAAATCAACCCTGAATACTTACTTGTTGGAAGAACTGTGCTGAAATTGAAGCTCCAGTATTTTAGTCATCTGATGAGAACAACCGACTCGTTGGAAAAATCCTTGATGCTGGGAAAGATTGAGAGTAGGAGAAGAGAGCGTCAAAGGAAGAGATGACTGGATGGCATCACCAATGCAATGCACGTGAACTCGGGCAAACTTCGGGGAGATGGTGAGGGACAGGGAGGCCTGGTGTGCCCCAGTTCATGGGGTCCCAGAGTCAGAAACGACTGGGTGACTGAAAAACATGTGATCACATATACATTTGGGGAGAGGGATAGGAAGGTTTATTAACTACAAAATCAAAGTTGTTTCTGTTTTTTTAGTTAGAGTATAATTGCTTTACAATGTTAGTTTCTGCTGTACAACAAAATGAATCTATGTATACATAGATTCCCCTCTTGGACCTCCCTCCTGCTCCAATTCCACACATTTAGGTCATCACATTGCACTGCACTGGTCTCCCTGTGCTAAATCACAGCTTCCACATGCTATCTGTTCTACACATGGTAGTATATATGGGCTTCCCAGGTGGCTCAGTGGTGAAGAATCTGCCTATCGATGCACGAGACACAAGAGACACAGATTCGATCCCTGGGTCAGGAAGATCCCCTGGAGAAAGGGGATGGCAACTTACTCCAGTATTCTTGCCTAGAAAATCCCACTGACAGAGGATCTTGGAGGGCTACCGTCCTTGGGATCACAGAGAGTCAGATAGGACTGGGCACAGCACAGCATCTACATGTCAGCCTAATCTCCCAGTTCATCCCACTCTCTTCTTCCCCGCTGTGTCCACACATTCATTCTCTACTTCTGGCTGTCTTCCTTTCCTGCCCTGGAACTAGATTCATCTCCCATTTTTCTTGATTCCACATGCATGTGTTAATATACTATCATTTGTTTTACTCTTTCCGACTTACTTCACTCGGCGTGACCGACTCTAGGTCCATCCCCATCTCTACAAATGATCCAGTTTCATTTTGCTCCTTTTTATGGTGAGTAATATTCCACTGTATAAGATGTTCAGTGCAGCTCAGTTCAGTCACTCAGTCATGTCTGACTGTTTGTGACCCCATGCACTGCAGCACGCCAGGCCTCACCAACTCCCTGAGATTGC